AAGAATCTCCGAAAATTGAATTTCAAAGTTTTCAGAACCCATTGCTTTTTCGAAGTTACACAAAAACTTTTTTAAAAGTGTTAACACTTACCCCCCCCCCTCTTCTCTCTCTTAAATGAATATAAATCTTTTTAATCAAATGGAAAGGAGATAAATCTTCATTCGGTACGTTCATAGAAAGTTGTCGGACCATCTGCTGCCAATAAATGTTCTATATATTGTTCTCTGCTGTCGGGGGATCTGATTTCACTGTCCCCGTTCACGCCCTGCCTGTCGATAAGCATATTGTAAACAATTTCTTTTCACATAGATGTATTGTACTTCTAACTATGTGAAGCTGTACTTTGTCACTTTACTGATACTTCATTTTTTGGGGTACTGTAACTTTCGAAGTACTGTTTTTTTAGTTTTTCGGATACGTCGGATACTTCCAGTGATTTTTCATTTTTTGGATACCGTTTTTTGGGATACTGTGTTCATCAAGATACTGTCCTTATCAGGATACTATATTTTTGGGACCCTGTACTTTTAAGGATATTTAATCTTTTGGGATAGTGTAATTTTTGGGGTACTGCACTTATAGAGAGACTGTACTTTTTGAGGTACTGTAATTTCTGGGATACTGTATTTTTTTGGGGTACTCTACTTTTTGGGATAATGTATTTGTTGGGATACTGTATTTTTTGGGACTCTATTTTTTCGGATACTGTACTTTTGTCATTCAAAAAATGTTTTTTATAATGACTCATGTTTTGGTATGCACGAGGTCGCAGATGTACACACCCCTAAAAAACTCGTGGGGCGAGAGAGTGTACTGTTCTGGAGAGACACAGAGAAATAAAGCTGGAGAGACGCAGAGAAATGATCTTAGTCATTTAAATAGGTTTTTGAAGCTGGTCGATGTCCCAATGATCGAAATATTTATGAAAAAAGTCGAATTTTGAAATTTGTCCGTAATCAATTTTTTAAATTCTGGAATTTTCATTCAATTTTTACTTTTTAGGAGGATACCGTATTTTCCGCTAGAGCCTACTGTATTTTCGCATTTTTATTGATTATATAATTTTTCGGAATTCATTTTTTCCCGTCATTCTGTACTTTTCACATTTTAGTGATATTGTCTTATTTGAGACTGTACTTTTGAAGATATTGTTCTTTTTTTGATACTGTATTTATGGAGTACTGCACTTTCAGAGCTGCTGAACTTATTGGGTTATTGTACTTTCTGGGATACTTTACTTTTTGGGATACTGTACTTTTTTCATTTTTGGAATGCTGTAACACTGTCCTTCAGAGGTAATGAAATTTTCGTAATCCTGAATTTTTTAAGATACTGTAATTAGTAGAATTCTGAACTTTTTGAGATCCGAATTTTTTAGAGACTTTTCCCGTGTTAGGGATGCTTTACTTTTCTCAAGATAGATAAAATCTTCTTTTCCGACAGCAGTAACACAGTATTTCAGGGATACTGTATTTTTTAAGATGGTGTACTTTTTTTGGGATACTGTACTTTTTTCATTCAAAAAATGTTGTTTTTCTTCCCCATGTTTTGGCATCCACGAAGTCGCAGATATAAACATACAGACTTCAAAAAATCTGGTGGGGTGAGAGAGTGTACTGTTCTAGAGAGACGCAGAGAATTCAAATGACCTTGGTCATTTGGATGGGCTTTCGTAGCTGCTCGATGACCAAGTATTAGACATACCGTGTTTCTTCTAATAAAACCCCACGGGCTTCTGTTTTTTAACCTCTTTCTCAGGGTGGGCTTGTATTAGGTGTGAGCTTCAAATTTTCAATGTTTAACATTCAAAAAAAATGTGTTCAAAAAATCAGAAATTTGACAATTCGGAAGTTAAAGATTCCGAATTTCGGTTTTTTTAATTCAAAGTTTTTATTCCGCAATTCTAAACTACAAAATTCCGAATTTATAAAAGATTCTGAGTACTTGAAATTTTGAATATTTTTCTTAATGAATAATTCTATAAATCTTGCTCAAGAATTTTTTAATTCTAAAATTCAGAAATTTCAAATTTCTAGTTGATTGTTCAAAATCAGTGTTTTTGTTCAAAATTTGTCATTGGTCCAAACTTCTTGAATTCTGTAATACCCATTTTTCATTTTGACCCGGTCCGGCCCGGCCCGGTCAGCCCGGGTAGCTGATTTTTTGAAAAATTTTGAGAAAATTTTTTTGAATTCCACCTGAAAAACAACTTCCTGTTATAATCCGCCTTTATAAAAGTATCGAAACTTCAACATTTATAGCAATTTTGATGAAAACTTCACAAATTTTCAAAAAACTTCGAAATTTTGAAATTTTTGAATCTGACCCGGGCTGACAGGGCCGGGTCGGGTGGGCCAGCCGGGCCGGGCCGGAGAATTTTTCATTTTGACCCGGCCCGGCCCGTGACAAGTATGGTAATATCCGTTTTATTTCTCTGGAAATCAAAGGATTTTCAGCGTTTGAAACCTTTAAGTTTTCAAACAATCCTGATTTTTTGAGATATCTGCATTTTTTAGGAATACTGTACTTTTCGGGATACTGTACTTTAGGAATTCTGTGCTCTTGGGATACTCTACTCTTTGGTATAATGTACTTTCTGTGATACTTTTCTTTTTGAGACACTGTAATCTATTGGATACTGTACCTTTTGGGATACTGTACTTTTTTATTCAAAAAATGTTGTTTTTCTTCCTCATGTTCTGGTAAACATAAGGTCGCAGATTTAAACATACAGACCCCAAAAAATTTTGTGGGGCGAGAGAGTGTACTGTTCTAGAGAGACGCAGAGAATTCAAATGGCCTCAGTCATTTGGATGGACTTTTGTAGCTGCTTGATGACCAAGTAATAGACATATGTATGAGAGAGGTGAGGTTTTGAAAACTGTTCGAAAATCGATAATTTTGAAATTCTGAGATTAGATTTTCATCTGGAAGCTCTCTATTTTTTTAGTTCTCAATGCTTGAAATTCTATGTTTTCAACAGTTAATGATTCTGAAAATCTTGTTTTTCCATACTCTTGAATGTTACAAAATTCTAGACGATTTTTCAAAATCTGAATTTTTAATGTTCTCAAAGTTTTTATTGGTCCAAAGTTTTTCAATTCTGTGAATTTTGTAAATAGAATTTTCGATAATGACTAAATATCAAAATTTTGAATGAAATTCTGAAAAACTCGCAAATCAAAGTCTTGAAAAATGTTGAAATTTGGACATTTTAACCTTTTGAAGTCAAAACTTCTGTGAATCTAGGTTTTAAAAAAGTTCTAAAACTCCCGAATTGATTCCGCATAGTCAGTTTTTAAGAAAAATTCTGAGATAGGAAGAATAAGTGAATACGTTTGGATTTTAGAAATACAAAAATTCCTGAATTTTTTGTGTTTGGTTTTTTTCAAAACATCATTCTTAAAAAGCGATTTGAAAGATTCAAATGTTCCCAGATATATATTCAAATGGAATATCTTGGTCCAAGAATATCCGAGACTTGAATTTCAAAGTTTTCAGAACCCAACGCTTTTTCGATGTCTCAAAAACTTCTTTTGAAACTGATAACTATTACTCCCTCTCACTCTTTCTCTGCAACACCATGCTTTTCTCATATCAGGGAAGCTGTACTTTTTGGATTACTGCTTTTTCTGGGATACTGCACAATGCTAGATAATGTACTTTCTGGGATACTGTATTTTTTGGGACTCTATTTTTTCGGATACTGTACTTTTGTCATTCAAAAAATGTTGTTTTATAATGACTCATGTTTTGGTATGCACGAGGTCGCAGATGTACACACCCCTAAAAAACTCGTGGGGCGAGAGAGTGTACTGTTCTGGAGAGACACACAGAAATAATATTACTCATTGAGATAGGTTTTTGAAGCTGCTCTCTCCCATCGATAGGTTCACAATCCCCTCTACAACTTCTCTACCGTCTTCTCAATTCACACACTATTTCCCTCATGTGCTCGCCCTTTTCATCACCTTCAATCATCTTATTTCCACTTTTCTTCTGTTTTTCTTACTTTTTTCGATCCCTCTTTTTGGAGGATTTGAATTAGAATAAATACCTGCGTCTCTCTCTATCTCTCTCTCTCTCTCTCTCTCTCTCTCTCTCTCTCTCTCTCTCTCTCTCTTCTTTTTCAAGCATGCATGTTTTGGAAGAGTTTTAGGAAATTATAGTTTCCTGAACACCACATGATTTTATAAACTCGAAACCTTCGAGTTTTCAATAACCCTGATTTTTCGGGATTTCTAAACTTCTCTGAAAAAAAATACATGAAAATCATTTCAACACTCTTGCGAATTTTCAGAAATTCGAAAAATCGGAAGTCAACGTTCGAAAGTAAGTTTTTATAACAGAATTTTCTAAAATTCAATTTCTATCCTGATAATTTTATCTAGAAAATTTTTAAAATTTTGAAAATGAAGTAAATTCTTAAAATCAGAAAATCTGATTTGTTTTTTCGAAATCTGTTTCCTTTGTTTCATTTGTTTTTTTCACTAATTGCGCAACAAGAAATCCGTTTATTTCTTCTCGAAACAAGAACAACTAAAGTCCAGAAAAGATTGCTCATTGCTAACAAAACGCTGGTTTTGAATATCGACAGGCTTTCAGTGTTTCCCCTCACAAAGGCTTTTATCGTTCAAACTATTAAAGGACAGACTTTATACATAGAAAATTTGATATCCGTCTTTTACCACCTCAAAAATTGATTGCTGTTCTCAGCATATGAAAATTAATTTGTATATAAAATTTTTTTCAGAACGAATATGCGGCCAGCTAGAGTCAGAAAACAGCGGTTTGATTTGAGCCAGCAGTAAGTTCAAAAAATAAATTTTAAAAAATCAAACTTTGTTGCAGACAAGCTCTCCAATCTTCTGAGCTGGACGAGCATGACCGTACCGCAATGGTCAACAATTTTCCCACACATTACTACCTGTCGCTGGTAATAAATATGAATTCCCATCTCACATCTCATCATATTTTTCAGCTGCTCCTCACAGCTTCGATGGCGTGGAAGGCTCTTCGTGCAGGTAGAATGCGAAATATGAGAAAGAATTTGGATACCATGAAAATGTTTGATGCCTATCGGCCATTGCTTGGAAAGGAATTGGAAGATTTAGAGGTTTCCAGCCTAACGATGTTTATAATATATATTTAATACTTTGCAGAAACTGGAAAGCTGTCTCCGCGGCGCGCTCGTCACAAACGAAGGACGGACTTCGATGATTTCGTTGATGAAGGTAACTGCTTCTTTTTTTCATTAATGGAAGTTGATAATTCAGACCTTTGATTACCACGCCCGGGAGGTTTGCCAAAGCATCGGATCCAGTCGCTCATTGGTTTGTTTTGATAACTATTCTTATAGGAAAATAAATTGTTTCAGTCCGATAAAATCAGAGCAGATGCTTTGGACTGCGCCGATAGTGAAGGGAATGGAACTGAAAGATTTGAGCACATCTATCAGTCGCAACAAATCATATTGAAGTGGTATGCAGAAGTTTTTTTTCTGAAAAAGTACAAAAACATTATTTTCAGCGAAAAAAAGCTGGCCTCGTCATGCCTGAACCCGAATGTCTGGCCCTTGTCCTTTCGGTTAGTTTGAATCATTTGGACATGTTAATTTTTATAAATTTTAGGATCAAGAAATCGAAGAGAGAAAAAGGATTCAGCACGTTCAACAGCCAGTTCAGCAGCCTTTGGTTCAGCAACCAATCCAAGCTCAAGTCCGTTCCGTTTCACCGCCGCCAGTCCAGACACCGGTCCTGCAAATTGTCCAGCCATCAATTGCTCAGCAAGAAGATGATAGTGATCATCTGGAAATGGACAGTGATGATGATGAGATTGCTGATGGTCTAGTGCATTCCCCAGCTGAAAATGAAGAAGAGGATAGCACTGACCAAATGGATACTGATGATTTTCATAGTGCTGCTGTATTGAATCAGCAGCCAGATCTGCATCGAATCGAACGGAGGGCATTGTCGCCAGCCCAACCGATGGGACATTCGCCAGTCCATTTCTCAGTGCAGCAAGCAGCCGGACGACCAACGCAGTCTCCTATCCAACAGCAAATGCTGCTAGGACAGAACCAACATAATCAAAGTGAAGACTTAACTAGAAGCGAGACGGAAGAAGATGCGGAAATTAATATTAACGATGATCAGAGTGATGTTGTGCTGAATCAACTTCAAATTCAAAATTTTGAAAATGCAAGTGATAATGGTGAACAAATGACCAATGAGAATGAATCCGATTCAACTGTCACTGGAAAAGATCAAACAATCCCTGATGACGCCCCAGAAGCTGGACAAAAGTCCGGAGGCAGTTCTGGTAGATTGGCTGATTCTCAAACTCAACAGAATCAAGAAAGCTCTAGAAATAACCCATCTCCAAGTAATAACCAGCTTGGGCATAATGTTCCTGGATTTGCTTCTTCGGTATCACCTATCGCAGTTGAATCCAATGATCAAGAAGCACCACAGACCTTTACTTTCATTTTACCGGGACTTCCAATCATTCATGTACCGGGATCAGCATTCAGGGCATTTACATCACGGACCGAGGTCACGATACCGCTTCCACTTTTATTGAATGATGACTTGTCTCAATCGGTTGCCACTCTGAGGAATCCAATGCCAGCCCCACTCTCCACCGCAACTCCGAATCGCGAAAATCAAGGGACCGCGGAAGGGGTTAGAGCCGAAAAAACCGTTCGAAATATGTGAAATTTGTGAAGATTGAAAAATGGTGATTCTATTTTAAATTTGATGGATATCACAAAAAGTTTTCTTTTTCAGTTTATTTCTTCAACAACAAAACATTGAAACCAATGGTCAACGTTTTCGGTATCAATAGGATTTATAATCATCCAACTTTATTTCGATTTTTCGCTTTTGGATATGTGACTTTTTGATACTTTTTTGTACTGAATTTTAAATAATCATATTGATTTTTGAACTGTGAACAATTTGATTATTGATGTGTGCGATTTGAAGCGAAAAATTTATACACAGAAACTTTGAATTTTCCAACGAAACAATTAGATCATGTGTGAAAATTGAAGGCAAACATTGTTAGGTGAAAGAACTTTTCAAGATCTGCAAAATGTCAATGTAAAAATATAATTCAATATTTAATTGGTGAGATTTTGGAAAACCAAAAAGTTAGCGCTAGCAAATGGGGGTAGGGAGGATTCAAAAAATTATTGATGAATTTTTAGTCAAAAGGGCCATAGCTCAAAACTAGCTGAAAAATTAGGCTAGAAAAATTTTATCGTTAGTCAACTTACTGAAATAAAATCAGTAGCCAATTGAAGGGTGAAGGGGGAATATTCAAAATTTGCAATAACCGGAAGTGCTACAATTCACACGGGAAACAAAAAGAGATGGTATATGAAAAACTCACCACTTGATGAATAGGATCTGGGGAAACAAAGAATTTGAACTATTGTAGAAGAAAAGGATCGCAAAATGTACTGGCGATATCTAAACAGAACATTTACAAATGGCTAGCTAGACACGAGGCTAGTAAAAATGCAGAGGTAGGAAAAAGGAAAATATCTCCCTACTGGGGTGACACGTGAAGCAAAAAACGATGATATACGGGTAGAGCACGGAAAGATGAGATCGTTGAGATTTGTAAGGAATGATATCTATGGAGTAATGTCTCTTTGGAGAAAAATCCACTCGGCCAGCAATTCTACATTATCCAGTACCAATGGTTTCAGCTTGTCCACCTCCGTGGCAATCTTAAATGAGAGCAATTTACAAAACTATTTTATAATAAGTTTTACCTTTTCGCAATCTTTATTGGACTTAGTGTGGAGCATGGATAGTTGTCTGGAGTACATCTTTATATCGACTTCGGCTTGTGATGCATTCAGAAGGATCTGATAAAGACTTTTCTGATAGTTGGAGAGAAAGTCTGCGATTTGTAGGAATTCACGAACGACTTGTTCAGTGATGGTTTTGTAGGGATGTCTGAAATTAACATCGTGTGAAAAAACTCCAACTTTTTTTGTACTTTAGATTATCGTGAGCGAAATTGTATTGTCTAAACTACGCGGCGTGTTTTCCAATCTTTAATTTATTTTTCTCGTCTCAACACCTCTAATTTGTTTGACATAATTAACTCACCCAAGTTGCATGAAAGCTTCTGATTTTAAAAATTCCAGCAACTTCTCATGATACGTGTGAATTTTGTTTGAGACTACTCCCTTCGCGAACTTCCGTTGAACCGGTCTTCTCACTGCACGTGGCGGAGTGAGTTCATCAACTTCGGCAAGAGATTTCAGTTTGATCAGAAGCTCATCAACTTTGGGCGTGAATTCATAAAGTGTCCTTCTCTTCTCCTTGTTCCGATTTCCCATCAGTGATACCTCTCGGCAAATGCACAAGTCTTTTATAGTCTCTGTGCTGATTAAGACTTTCTCCAGATCTTCATTGAGCTTGTCTCTCTCCTCCGCTTCCCTGAAGTAAATTGAAATCAAAATAACAATATCAATTAGTCATTAGTTCTAGATCTTTATATAGGATACAAAGACATATTTCTGAAGATTTTTGCATTATTAAACAGTTTGTTAGTACTTGAAACAATATGAAATCTGCACTCACAATCTCATCATTTCTACCGTCATTTCTCTCACTGTGGCATTCTCTTGTTGTTTCTCTTTTTGGAACACTTCAAGTGTAGAAAGAAAATCTTCCACTTTTTTCTCAATATCCTGAATCTCGTTCGAGAAATCAACAACTTCGTAAACAGAGAGTTGGCCGAGTGATTGTAACAATTCTAGAAGGACGGCGTCAGAGGTGCCAGGAGCCTGAAAAAGTGATTAAATACTCGGAGAAACTCCAATGAATCAATTTCGATTATGTCTACTGTTTGTTCATGAAAAATACATCGAATAATTTTGCATTTTTCACGAAAATGCGGATGTTCCTGAAAAAGCGAAACAAGTCATTTGAGCATCAGCCTATTATTTTAAACAGAAAACAAAATACTTCTTGATAATATCATTTGAAAAAGTACTTGAAGTTCTCATATTTCAGCAAAATTCTCACTACTCACAGAAAATATTTTTCGAAAAAAGTGTTCTGTTAAATTGAAGGCCAGGGCTGAAGCTCCTTATTCCCGCGTTACTATAACACCATCACTTTGACGCCTAATTCAAAAAAATTAGAATGTCTGGATTTAAGAAGTTTACGAAAACAAATTTTAAATATTAAATTTAACTCACGGTTTTTTCGGCTGCAACTAAGATTATATCTCTCAATGACAAGTTGAATAGAGTTGTTCCATGATGAGGAGAGATATATTGCGAGAGCGAATTGATATGAACCCGTTTGATTCTGTCGTATTCGTATCGAACCACTTCAACAGCTTCTGGATCCTTTATATTCTGCGCTGAGATTCCTTCAAACATTGTCTCTGAAAATATATAAATTCAGGAATAAAGAAAAACACACTTGAGTTTGCGATTGAGTGAAAACAGAGAAAGAATCACAGAATACAGATAGGAAGAACGAAAATCGATCAGAAATGTGTTTGGGTGACAACCTGGGGTGGATTAGATGAGGTGAAAATGCCACGTTGGGTGGGTGAGTGCGCGCGGGATGGTTTGTGTTTATGTGTTTTGGCGGGAGTATTGGTGACCGGAGGACAGGTGTTCGAATGACAACAAGGCAATTATACCATTATACACACAAAGAGGAAAAAACAGTGAGACGATGACTGTGTGATTGTGGAGTGTGGGACTGTTGGGCCCCCGTCTTACTAGTTAGTGCTATGGGGCCCCCGTCTTACTAGTTAGTGCTAGGATTAGATGAGGTGAAAATGCCACGTTGGGTGGGTGAGTGCGCGAGGGATGGTTTGTGTGTATGTGTTTTGGCGGGAGTATTGGTGACCGGAGGACAGGTGTTCGAATGACAACAAGGCAATATACCATTATACACACAAAAAGGAGAAAACAGTGCGACGATGACTGTGTGATTGTGGAGTTTGGGACTGTTGGGCCCCCGTCTTACTAGTTAGTGCTATAATAATAAAGAGTCGGGGAAGAAGCGGAGGTCATCTCCACACCACATAAGCGTTCAACGGGTATTACGACCTCCATATGAGCAAGGGAGAGAGTGAGGAAGTAAGGGACCGTTGGTTGTGAACAAGTGTTTCAAAATCCTTGATTATGGTCTGCACAAAAAAATCAAAAACCTTCAAATGAATATTGGAAATTCTACTTTTGTTTCGAATGTTCAAAGAATTATGTTCTCAAAAATTAACGGCACTGCCAAACCTTAAAGTGCGTGGACCAAAAAAAACATTTCTGATATTATGATAAACATCAGTATGTCTTTGACGCCTTTGACAGGAACTAAGAAAAATTGGGCAAAAGTTAGTGAACAGTTTCTGAGACAAGTTTTTGGGTAAATCTAAACAGAGAAATACAGCTTGATAATTATTATTCTGGTTCAAACAATTTGGAGCTGTGGAAGAGAAACGCCAGCTGCCGGGTTCGAAAGCTCTAAAACAGCAACTATCTTAACCTGAAAATAGTTTGTTCTCCGAATACACTATTTTGATTTTCCTGCGTTTCAATCAATTTTCTTAACATCGTCCTTTTTTTTCTTCGGGTTTTTGTAAAAAACGAAAAGTACACAAGGAAATAAAATTGAAAATGTTTAGGTGACGGTGTTTGTCGTTGTGGGACCTTCGGACAGAGCCACCGGCGTTTCTCTTCCACAGCTTCAATTTTGTATTAGAATTATACCAGCAGTGGATAAATATGCTTCCTATTTTGATACACTTTCTCACATGTGCATTTAGATTGGAATGCATTTTTTTTGTGTAGGATGATTCTTTTTTTTTTCAAATAGTTTTGTATAGCTGATGCAATTCAGAAGTTCTGAATCAAAAACAACAAATTAGTCATGAGATTTTGTTGATGCTCCATAAATTTCTTCTAAAAAGAGAGAGAGAGAGCACTAGTTTCTATGTGGACCTGGCAATCTCGTCTTTTGTGAGGAGCAACCCCCAAATTTGGAAAAAATTATTTTCTATTCCTCCACCAGTTTTTTTTTTCAATTTCCGACATACAGACAAAAAACGTTCATTACTGCAAGTTTTTGTGCTTGTCACTTGTGCAACTGAGTATTAGAAATGTCCGGATTCCGCAATCCAAGACAAATAGTTGATTCCACAGCAAAAAACTATTTTACAAGAATTATACCCAACGAAGAATTAATTTCAAACTTTCGTTGGAAATTATACAAAATGAAGTTTGAAGTTTGTTTCTTGGAGTAATTATGAACTGTAGCAGTACGGATTTCTGACTACTTTTTTTATATCCCGCGAAAGTTTGATGTGTCCGGATTCCGCATTCTGTATTCCCAGAAAATGGTTTACTCCGAATTCTAGAATAATTTTCTCAAAAAAAAATCATTCTGAGCGTCTCTCCTGTGCCTCCTGCTGCAGTTTTCTGAGCTGTTTTTGGAGTCAGATTTTTATTGCAGGTTGTTTTCAAAATTAGTCTATTTATGGACCAAAATTTCAATTCTGAAGCCATAACCTACAACAGCTCAATTCTCCTTTTTCTTTCCAAGCATCATATATGATTTTTTTTCTCTTCTTGGACTCTGGCAATGAAAATTCGATTTTGTTTTAGTCAAAGAGAATACATTCAAATTCCGTATTTCGTGCATTTCATAAAGTCCAATTCGTTTCTTTCCAATTGCCCCAAACCTTCTTTTTTTCGCTGTTGACGTGTAACCCCGCCCCCTTCTTGCACATTTCATTTAACGCCTTCAATTGTTTTTGGCACTACTCGATTTCTCTTTTACCACCTCTTTTGGGAGCTTTAATTGGCTCATTGTGCTTTTCTGCAGCGTGTACTGAAATCATCCAGCTCTTGGACATTGATTTTGTGGTTTTTTGCATCATCTCAATTTGCATTTTCATCAAATGAGAGACAGAAAAGAGCGAGTCGCATTTTTTTCAAACTCAACATTAGCTCTCCATGTTTTTATTTTTTGAGAGCCTTTTCGAATATTATTTGTGAATAATGTAGTAGGTTTTTAGTATTTTTAGTGATTTTTGAATACTCCAATTTTCCTAGAAAACACAGAGAAGCTCTGAATTTCCAAACTTCAAAAATCCGAGTTTCATGGAAGTTCACAAGATTTTCGATGTTCAGGTTTTTTTTTCTATGTCAATCATATACGTTTGAAAATGGCAACTTCTCTTCAAAAGATGAGTTGTTCTCTGCTACCCCATTTCAACTACAGTATCCTGACCTTTAAGTTTCTTTATGAGCAAGAGAAACATTTGAAAAAATGGCGGTCTCTCTTTCGAATGTTCATTCATTTTTCTCTTCTCCCATTCCTCTACAGTATCCCATTTTTATTGGCTTTTCACGAATGAGTGCGGAATTTGAAAGTGGCGGCCTCTATTTTGAAAGTTACTTTTTCCCATCCTCCTATTCAAAAACATACAGTTCCCTTACCTTTTCACGTGTTTGTGCATATCAGAAAAAGCCGCGTGTTGCGTAAAGTAACCACGGTGTCTCTTTAAAGGTTGGGGGACAGGAGATTTTTCGTAGTTTTTTTTGTAGCTAGAGTATGCATTCTACCGTCACGGTGTACAACGCTAAATGTCACTCTGCGTACAGCTGTCGTCCTCGCCTTTATGTATGCAATCGGGCGTGCGCTTTCTCTTTGCCCGCGTGGCTCAGTCGGTAGCAGCGCCGCACCCTCAATCATCGCCCTCACAAGTTCAACTCCTCGAGGGGCATCTTTGAACGGAATTTCGAGAACATTATTTTTTTCATGTCCCCCCACCTTTAATTTTTTTCTGTTAATTTTTTCGCTCATCTTAGTTCTTTTACCTTTTTTAATGCAACGTTGTCATCGCTACACCGTAAGGGGATTCATGTTTCAAATATCTCGATACTTCGCTTCTGAATTTCTCATTTATCGTGGTTTCCTTTCTTTGAGACTGGAAAAATAAGTTAACTGGGTCTTATATCACTGGGAATTCTAACCAATTTGTGAAAATTCTAAAATAAATTTTTGATTTCACTTTTTAGTTTCAAGAGAAAAAAATTTAAATTTTGAATAATTCTCTGATTTTCGGATTTTTTCTCCAAAATCAGGTTTTTTCAAATCTCACTTTTATTCATGTATTATCAATCTCCAATTTATTCTAAAACTTTTTTCTCCGCCAAAAGAGCTCACCCGTAATTACTGACGCACATAACTCAAACCTCTGGAATTCGGTAAACAATTTTTTCTACTTTTCATAATTATATTTCTTCTAACTGCTGATTTCAGTTTTTATTCCATTTTTAGCTCCACACCTACTTCAAAGAAAATTAGAAATTTTATAATTACGTGAAAGATACGCACTTCGTTTCTCGGCTGATTTTGGGGCTCAATAAAAGAGCGCGACTAGGGATTGTTGATTCACAGTGATGGTGATTAACCAAAACCAATGAAAAATCAAATTTCCATTCGGTATGATTCCCGTGCTGACCCATATGCACAGTTGAAAGGTCGTCAGGCATTCTGACCATCCGTTGGCTTTTTTTAGTTTTCTCTGACTGTCTAATCTCTGCATAAAGACAATGCTTCTTGCCTCTCAGAAGTAACAGTCTTATGCATCGCAGCGGTCTTACTATGGCACTGTTTACGGCATAAATGCGAAGAGGCCTGTTCTGTGCGGCGCCACCGCGTGAGGGACATAAAATCTCTGTTACCGTCTAGCTTCCACATGCACACTGTATGCAAAACTACCACGTCCCCGCTGTTTTTCTCTAACAGTCTCTCTGTCGTTGTCCGCCCGAAGGAAAACAGTTAATACACGTCAGTCAGAGTTCTGATTTTTTCGGTCCTTCCGATAACGTCGTACGCTCACAGAATTTTTGAAGTACAGTGAATAGTTGACTATAAATTAACTGGTGTATCATACGATTATTGGTTCAATGTACAGTAGCTGGTCTAGTATACAGTGATTGTTTCGTAGCCGCAAGACGACTTTTAATTTTTTTTTAAATAATGCTTTTTTCGCCTGCGACCCACCTCATCCGACATGTTGCTTGTCATTTACACAGGTGATTCGCGAACAATCCGTTACGGACGCTCAGCGTTCGCGCGCGGTTGAAATAGGAACCGCATACGGACCGCACGCGACCCGTTTTCAGAAAACCACAGCACATTATTTCGTATTTCGTACATATTCTGTCCGGTCGCGAACG